TGTAGGAAGAAGAGAAATGAACTCGGCGTATTGGATGAACCACATCCATGGATTGGGTTAGATCATCCAAATATGTAAGAAACAGTGAATTCCGTGAGCGGCAAGTTACATCCGCCACGTCACAGTTTGTTACATGGATAGTTGTGGCTTTTTATAGAAAAAGAACCCTTGCCAGGAGAAAAACCACCATGTCCTGAAACACTGCCACCGAACTATTTGGTGGAAGTGAGTAAACCCGAACCAACCGGCTGACATCACGAAGCGGATGTTTGCATAGCTAGATGAATGTATTTATTTACTTAAAACCTCAGCATCATAGCCATTTACTGACTAATAACCCAAGTAACTTTTATTTTTGCATTAGAGCAAGAAATGTAGGTATTTATCTTTTCCATGTATTGTATGATCGACATATGCAGAAACAAACGGGGATAGGTTAAGTGTCTCGGTTTGCCGTGCAAGAAATCTGGAATCGTCTCGGTTTGGCTCATCAATAATCTGGCCACCTTACATGCACCGTACGTAACAGGTGCGTCACCACCGCTGAATCTGACAGTAGAGCATTATACTTAGACGTCGCCGTGACATGCGCCTCAGGTGTTCCAGCAGCGTTGTGTGCAGTTTGCTCGCGGTATCTCCTATACACACACATTCACAGTTATTAAGATTCCATTTGTGAACACCGTTAGTCATCTTATCTACGAAAAGTGTGTATTTCAGATAAAACATGGTTGAACAGATCCCGAGTTTTATTCCTTGGTTAGTGCCGTCGGAAAGGAAAAGGTAGTTTCTTCTACCCATAATATTCTTATCGTCCCAATCCATTCCGCTGTATATTTTCAATGTGGTTTTAGCATATTGTGAAACGTGTCTTTCACTACCGGTTTCGGGTGTCCACTATTCAGGAATTACCTTACTGTCTACTTCCTTCTCTGTGCACATGGGAATTATCTTTGAAACACAGAGATTGGAATTGTAGTGCTATGTACCATCTGTGTCCGTCGGTTGACGAAATATCGGTTCGGAAGCTAATCAATCTTGCAAACAGAGCAGTCAAGGAATGGCGATGTGCGACTCCATGGTGGGCGATTTCAGATTCCTCACAAACTAGCTTTTCTTATCCAATTTTGTGTTCAGAATGTGCCGTCCATTTGATACCAACAACCTTTAGCTATTTACTGGAGTTTGCCAGTACTATGTGCAACGCAGTGGACATTGGCGATCTAATGATAACATCATGTTCTTGAGTGCCTACTTCCGACTGAAATCCGAGCTAGAACAACACACCGCGCAATGTCTTAATCTCGGTTGTTTTAACCAACTTATTTTTCGGTCACTCCCTAGGTTAATCTCTTCAGTCAAACAGCGTTTCACCATACCCAGTGCGTCGCATTTCACCATATTGGTGGGGAGTGCGCGTTAATGTTAACATAGATCATCGTTTCATCTTCGTTTCACACTGACTCATGACGGTTCTTTGCAAACGTATCCCTTTACCCTTCACCTTTAGCAGCAAATAGCGGTCGCTATTTATCTAGCTGCGAAGCAGTAATCAGTGCGCAATCTGCTCCTTACCTTGATTCAGGTTGAAGCCAATGGTTGTTTGCACTGGCCTATGCATATTTTTGTCCCTTATTGGAAAGAGTGCTCTCGCTAAGTTTCAAGTAGTTGCCCGGCATTTTGTGGCTACGTGAACACAGGAGTTATGGAAAAGAGCAATCACGCTGATTTTGAATGCTTCCATTTTATTGAATACAACTGATAACATCATGGACCGCCAGCACTTCTCATTTGTTAACAAAGTGTACAGTTAAACTTTACCAATCGGAGTTCAAAATTAGCTCGTGTGGTCCATCGGGTCCGGCGGGTTTTGTGCCATCAAGACTGGCGATTATACTGCGGACATCTGCTACATCGCCATCAGGAACCTTGAGTACAATAGGGGCTGCACAAGTCAAACTCGGCACAGTTGCATACATAATTGCATATACGGAAGCGACGTGCTCGGCCATTACAGAAGCACTTTCTGTGCTGGTGGTCAAAGGCTGTCCGACAGTGCCCTCTAAAACAGCTACGGCACTTGCGGGCACCAGGCGCCGCTTCAAGTAACCAAATGCTTCTTGGAAGCCGTCTTTGCAGAGATTGCAAACTCCTCTTCTAATTGCTAACGCTTTCTCGTTTTTCCTTGTTGCTTAAAGTCTGCTGCATTTTGTACACCCGTTTTCTTTGACATAGTCAGAAACCAAGATTTCGTTGTACATTTCGCGTCGCCGTCGTGCCAATTGACTATACTCTCTGTCATACAAATGCGACTTCACTGATCCAGGATGGATCCTGTGGCAGCAACAAGTCTTGTTCACTGCCGGCTCGATTTAGACCATTGAAGTCTGTCTTCTACAAATTATAATACGGCTCCGGCAGACGCGATTTTGGCAGTGGCCGCTCTAGGCCGACTAACACCATCGAGTGTTCGCTGCCTGCCAGAGGCTCCTGGACTTGAATTTCATGTACAAGTTGCTTGCAACTCTTAAGTGGTAGGTCCAGGAACAATGCAGGATTATGCGGTGTATCGCTGCTCGGTTGGCAGACAAGTTTTGCTGCCCCGGTTTCAAGAGCCATCTCCGTAAACTGCGCATCGACGTCACAGTGCCAGATGCGAAGTTAAACCTCAGACCACCAAATTCGAGGGAAGTTAAAATCACCAGAAACAGAAGGTGGTACCTACTCATGTAGTTTCAGGTATGCGGCAACCAATCCAGGCATCACCTTCGCGGGCTGCGATATGCAGCACTCACAAACAGTTCAGCCTATCGCAGGCGGGTCAAGTACCATAACTTTTGGCACAAGCCATCTTCGCTATGGTTGGTGTGTGCCAGTCTCCCGCATAGCGAGGACCGAATGCATAACAGCGCACCGCCTTGATCGTTTGATAGTCTGTTGCCCCGGAAGCACGAGTAGCCACTTATTTAGACTTCCTGGGTAGTGACTTTAGGATTTAAACAGATTTCGAAAAAGTTTAGTAAATCCGGATGACGTGAGGAAACGAATTGAAATACATCCTCACGTTTGTTCAAGTAACTGCCAACATTTGTGACGTCTACGTGCAGGCCGCAGTAGGAAGCGGCGGACGCGCTTGAAGCGTCATCGATCTGTTTATCCTGATTCGTCATACTCGGGAATCTACCCGAAAATTTATGATGGGGAGTTTAGTTCCTCCACTATCAGTCCACCGCTTCAACTACACGAAGCGGACTTCAGTTTCACTCTGTCCAAAGGATCCAAATCAAGACGAATATGTAGCTTCATACCTTTTAACCTACCGAGGAGGGATAGAATCAGCTTTGGACTCATCGCATCAATAAAGGTAGATCGAGGGGACCGTTTACCCCATCTGACAAAAATTTCTGGGCCCGTTGCGTATTAATACTACACTTCATTCCTGTTTAGGGTCGAATTATTCTTATAATAAATACCATTAGATGGAAAATCGTCGCATGTCAGATTCAATGGCATGTGTTTGGCCTTCGACGGCAGTGACTGTAGCATCTAGCGGCTGCAAATAATTTAAATCGGATTAAATTGAGAACAAAGTGTTGTTGACTTAAAAGCAGTTCGAAAAAGTTTTGTTAGCCCAATTCTCGTAAGGTTGGTAAATACTAAATTATCTGCTGGCGGTTCTTTCGGAACCGTTTGATTGCACAAGGATAAAAAGGTTTCCTTTGACGAAATGCAGTGGTGGAAACGTTACATGGCAATGCTTAACCCTAGAAAGTTTGGGACTTGAAACGATTGCATAAGAATATGCAAGCATCATGAGATTTTGTAACAAACGAGCGCTGGGTAAATAAACGATCCATTCAACAACACAAACGCTTACTCATATTTTCAGTCCAAGCTAAAAGTAATGTGGAAAACATAACAAAACACAGGCAAATATGGTATGGTATAGGTGTTTTATTGGTGAGTAATGCTTGGCGTACAAAATAACAGCTTTTATAAATTGCACGTATGTGAAACCTATTTTTCCACATGATAAACACTACTCTGGCTACTCGGTATTCCCTTATTCGTAAAAGCATATAGCACCAAGTTTGGCATGTCTGAGAGGCAGATTGATCTTGATATGACGTTAGCCGTCTGCATACATTACAGGTCAAATTTTATTCATAGTTTTGGAAAAATGAGCCACTTACGGCACAAGCTGGACTTAGTTTACGTCAAACAAAAAGCACGCAAATTTAAGTGACCCAGAAAATCATCCGCGCGTTTTAATCGGTGTTCAATTTTTAGCATACAAAATATTATGCTCCACTGTTTCTCTCCGTTTACTTTTCTTAAAATCCATTAAGTGTTTCTTCATTAGGGAGTTGTTAGTCGTCAATCGGTTGAGCTACTTTTCAGTGTTTTCTTCCGATGTATCTGCCTTGCCGTGCCAAACTTGGGAACGAATCACCGCCTAGTATCTGCCATAAAGCAAGTATTGTTATTGTCATACAGTCACGCAGTTCTAGTGAATGAATACGACCACACGCTATAACAGTTCTTTCCTCCCATTTAACTATTAAAGGCTAACGTACACAAAGTACTTGGCGATTTACCGCTATAAAACCATGTCAACGTCCCAAGAGTACCAAAATCTGTGATGAACCGTCTGTGTTAGACCCTGACTTCACCAAAGAAGTAATGGTCGATATTTTAATCAGAAATGCACCGCTTGGCTCCCACGACCACGTGACTCGGCAATCGCTTTACTTTTGCCACTAGGAATAAAACCATGGAAGCAACGAGGAGGCCCAGGCCACAACCACCATGATATATCTTCTCTGATTTCATAGATACAATGAACCGGACTTCCCAACACACTAGCCAGAAACTACCCGGACGCCAATCCACGATTCTCGTGGAAAGAACTACATTTCTTGCTCAGTGCCTTAAAGACAGGTTACCGATCAGGTCCGAATCGTAATTAGTATATGAATTTACTTTTACCTTTGGTAACAAGTGTATCAGAGAGCTCAATTTTTCCAGTCGTTTGGAACTCTCACCACATTGTTTCCCTACAACTCCTTATTATGGACAGCCCATTTCCCTTTGAATGTGCCAGAACCCCGGCTGCTTGTTTTACCTACCCCTTGAACATTGATAAACCATTCGACCTTGCTCCTCTAGCCCACCATCTATGGTCACTCAAACCCGCCTTACACATTTCGCTTTACACCCTTCATCATTTGATGTGCTAATTACCGATGTCCCATCGCAGACCTCTCAGGCATCCTCACATTATGCGCTATACAGACACTCCGCCAATCAGCTGTTCCGAACATGTCTATCTTCATAGTCAATCGATCTTCCAAGCTACGCTATTGGCGTATTTTGCCCTATCAGTCATTGACACATCAAGCGACTTTGCTTGGCATATGTCTATACGTGTAGGCAATCAATTGGTGTATTGGCTTGCTTCGAAGCGGTGCTGCCCAGTTACGCCTTTGCGCACTTGTTTGCCTTTTGTGATTATCTTTGCTTGGCTTTTCGATCGGTGTTCCGTGGTATCTACTGAAGTTTCTATTGCTTTCTTGTATAAGGAAACCGTTTGAGGTTTGTCACTTTTGGTATTTGTTGTTATTATTCAATAGCACCACAGTTGCACCGGCATTGAGTTTTTGACTTATCCCGGGGATTGCGAATCGGTTCCGGCCTTGAATTTCGATAACCGGTGGCTGCGCGTATCGCTCAAGGTTTCCAAGCGTTTTTATCGCTTACAACAAGTACCTCGGATACACAACAATCAATTTGCCTGAGCACTGTCTCGAGTTCCAGCGGGAAGGGACTACTAGAAATATAAGAAGTTCCACCCTTGGATATTTGGTGCAAATTGGGCAAGAAATCAAACAAATGGTGCTTTCAACCTTAGCGAACGCATGACATAATGATATCACATTGCGCTTATTAGGCGCCTCCTAAAGATAACCCAAGCGATAGCAATCAAGCCAGCGCAATAGTAGAGCATGTGGGGTCTTTAAATCAGCCGTGCCATTTTTAATAAACATAGATTTAACAATATCGCTATAGATGCATTTGTTCTAACGAAATACATTGTCAAACTACTTTCAAGGTCAATATTGTTGCCTCTGCCAACTTTATGAGTGTAACTCAAGATATTGCGCAAATGAAGATAGACCGTCTCGACCGGAAATCGAACTTGCAATGCTAGCCTTCCAGCAGAATGCAGTTTTAGATTATTCTATCTGGAAAGGTTTATATTTGCACGTTAACGCTGATCGTTTACTCAACTGACCCTTGTATATATTGTCCTTTATACTTTCATGCATATTTTTGAGTATATAATTTGGCTAGACCATAGTCGATATTGTATAGTGCTGATAATGTACCCATCTGAATACATAAAGCTTATTTTGACGACTTGAAGCAGAGGTTTGCAAGGAAGGGATACCGATATGATCTCCTATATTACAGTCCCCGTGACGAGGATCCATCTGTGTGCAACACCGATGATGACCAACCTTGGCTTTACTTATTTGACCACAAAAGTTTTTCCTGAAAATATCAACCAGCTTTGTCAAATAAGTCACATTAGGTCAGGTTTCATTTATAACTTGGCTCTCTTCAGCCAAGCCAATCAATTAAAATTCCGATTGAGTGAGCTGATCCAGTTAAGACTCTCCACCACTTTCGCTTCCGCCTTCATTAGCAGGAGCTTGCGAAAGTAGTTGTCTGATGTGGTTTCATGAAAAGAGCTCTCTTTGAAACCGCGATTTCTTACCTTCCCTTGGTTATTAGCCACGAATATGGAATGCTTCTGATAAGAATAACAAAGAATGTTTCATTCATAATTCCGCCACATTAGTTGTTTTAAACTTGCAAATGAGTGCAGCGACAAGGTAAATAAATTAGGCAACATTCAAATGTTGCTCGCATGCTTACTTAATGATAATAGATCAGACGCTACGCGCTAATCAAATGTTGCATCGGCCCATTTTCAGTGTATATATCGTGGTTTGGGGCGATTTCTAGTACCTCTCCTCTGCTTTACAGATCAAAATAAATGCAGTGAAAATAAGTGTATGAACAGCTCACGTTCTGCCGTAGTGTAATCTTGTAAGGTAAGCAACACTTTTTGGCCCATACATTATATCAAATAATAAACAGTATTACTACCATTTGATCCGTCTCGCTAATGCGCAGTCACGCATATAAGTGGCCAGTAAAGTTAACACCATTCGCTCGTCAACATTCCTCAGTAGTATGTCTGAGCTCGTTTAGGAGTTTCATTAGGTAGAACAATGTCTTACATCTAGAAATCATTTCCTGTAGATTTGAAAGGCTGTGAACCTTCAACCAGGTCATGGAATCCATCGTCGATGTGTTGGTGTGTTATCTAGAAAATTGTGACATTATTGCTCCCGAGCAACTCGGTTTACGTTGACAGCGCACGCACACAAGAAATGTATAAATTGTACGGAGTAGTTCGACCCGGTCAGCTGACGCTGGAGAGGCCGTTCATGTAATCTACTTGGATTTGTCAAAGGCATTCGATCGTTTGGATCATCCGGTTTTCCTTTCCAATCTCCAATATTAAGTAATGGGTAAGCTTGATCGCCAAGTTTCTGCAACAACAATACTTAGTGGTGAAAGTTCGCAGTTCATTAGCTAATCCCATAACATTTAAGCCTGGTGAGCTCCGGGGCTTATTTCTATGTCCAGGATTGTTTGTGACACTAATCAATGACCTGGGACGAAAAATCGTTTCATATTTCCAGCTGTTTGTTGACGACATCATGCTACGGCACCGGATTCAGGCGGATGCCGACCATCATCTTATTTCAGTGCAATCTGGATTTGTTACAGCATCTGCTACAGTTCAACGTAGGTAAATGCAAGATACTCTCCATACGACACCAAAGCACCTATGCCTTCAGGCTAGGAACGCAATAACACCAGCGATCAACCATGGAACTCGACCTTGGCGAGCTTGTTCAAACTAACTTGAGTTGTACCAAGCAATCCGCAAAGGCATCGAAAACGGGTAACCGACATATTGGCTTGTTACGCTTGGTGTTCGGACAAATAGACACCTCTGCTTTCAGTCAGATGCTAAATGTTTATGTTCACTCCATATGGAATACGCAATCCAAGCTTCGCAGTTATAGCTGAAGCAAGACCTTACGGCATAGGACCAACCTCAAAGGCGTGCTTCCAAATATTTTATTGCATAGCGCCACCTACCATACTAAAATGTTTGGGTGTATTCAGCTGGCGGTATCGCCGACTACTAGGCGACTTCATTATGGCGTAGTTGGTTAGATAATATCCAAAATATGGGTGCCACAATTTACTGCAACGCAGCAGTAACAGTAAACTTAGAGGCCACTAATTGAAATTGGCAGAAAACTACAGATACCCGGATTATCGTAGAAAATTCTTTTTTAATCGTATGTTTCAACGATGGAAAGTTGTCACCGAATCGGTTGATTTGCATTCGCGCCAGCCAAATTTAGCAGTCGGTTGGATGACGCACTCCGCTACTTACATTTCGTTATCTGACACTAATCTCCATCCGACTCTCGGAAATTATCTTGGATTTAATTTTGTCCATTGAAGCTATGGAAACATCCGTTGGGCAAGGCTGTGGCACCACATTTATTAACGCTTTTCTACAACGCACCAGAGTCCCCAGCGGGATTACAAAGCAGTGCTTCTTAATCCGTATAAATCCTTGTTTATTGCCCATAATTAAAGGCATCTGCTAAGGCTGTAGCTAGTATGGGGCTTACCTATTATGATCGGTACACGCAGCAATTAGGGGAATTACAGAAACCACGGACGAGGATTAAGCGTACAAAATCACAAGGTCCCTTATGGCATGGAATCTTAGAGCATAGCCCGATGGGTTTGATCTGACTTATATGAGACATTCATTTCCATTCTGAAGGCATCATTACGTGCGTCTTTGAAGAAAGGCAGTACAAATTACGTCGTACTTTGTGCTAACTAAATATAGTTCAACGAACATAGCTTAATCATTTTTAAACAGCAAGTATATAACGATATTTCAATTGACTTGATTCCTTCCATGGACTAGGTACCTTAGCTCCATTAACAGTAATAAATCGGCCAAGACTTTTTGAAACACTAAACACGCTGTTGACGACGTCCACTCAAACAAGAGTACAAAACGAGTTACAGCCCCGTTACCACAGAACATTAAGGATAACAACTTGGAAGTTAATAGATCACAAATAACATCACAATGAAATACTTGAGTTGTCTGTACTAAGTTTTCCACCTGTTCGGCTTAGCACACTCAAAAATGCAGGAAAGTGGTAACTGCCAACATAATATAATAGCCTTGTGCACGTAATAGACAGATATTGTGCAAAGTCGCAAGAAGTTTTACAGAGCAAATGTTGCATTTACAAGCAAGGCACACGTTATATAAAGTACAGAGGTTCAGTTTAGTTATAAGGTATGTTAGATTCGCATAGGTATCTAAACTTCTGCTACACCGGTGCTTTCATTTGAGTAGAACAACCCATGTTACCTGGTGAAACTTGTGATATTTGCGGTGTCCAGTTGGGTAGAATTATTAGGGGTGAGGAGACAGTTGTAGAAAGAGAAAATCCCAATCACCTACTGTTTGGATACGGTCTCAGTGATCAGAATAACCGAGGTCTACTTCATGTTGACCTGAAGTTTCACCAGAGACTGCGTGTTGCAATCCATCCACACGGCGGTTAATCTTAATCAAATTTTGGGTATACGAATTGCGTATTTATATCGCGTTTTTAAAATATTTGCCAGCCAGTATGATCACTGGAATATTATAGCTAATCAGATAGGTTGACTTTGGGTCATGGGATCTAAGGAAAAGTCAGGTCAAGAAGAACCGAGTAGTATCAGCGTCTACAAGCTACGGATAAACTAACGACTTAACCAACTTGTCGTAATTCCGAGGTTCAAATGAAAGAGGTTAGCGTTATGCAATAAGATATAGAGGCTAATATATAATCCAAGTTACCACTATGAAGATGGCGCTAAGAGCAACAAGAACGATTTCTATTAACTTATCTAATGTATCTTAAGAGTGGCAAGCCGTCGTCATCAGGCTATCATAGCTTTTCATGCATCTGCTATTGGTGAAGTCAACGGAAGCCCACTCGAGTTCAGAGACAACGCTAGAACATGCGGGAAAAATTTTATGGGTAAAGGAATTTTAGGCAACTATCACGTGATCCGCTGCAGTTAGACATTTATAAATTATATACAAATCATCTACTCACAGATAATCAAATTGTTCTCATGTTCCGTTTCTAAACCCCATGCTTTGCATCAATGCTATACAAGAAAACATTGCTCTGGGTGTAATCCCACTCCACTACGTAGCATGGCAAGCGGAGTCACGCAATAAAAATACTGCCTTGCTACGCTAAAGGTCTGTCGTCGTCACGAAGTACGTAACAAGTATAAGACGCCGGCATCGTTAATCCTCAAGTTTGATTCCTGCTAAGCGGCCGGACCTTATTTATTGATGATTATCAATAGAAAAACGACATCCATTTCACTTTATTGCACATGTATGGTCGACTGTCCACGACTTGTCTGAGAGCGCGAATTATCCAGGATTATGTAGATCACTTGATGGAACAAAAGGCAGAAATAATAGCATGACCTAAGTGATATTTTAAGACCTGCATCGTTTTTGCGTAGAGCAACTAGC